GATTGCAGACTGATGCAGCCACTTTGGTAAACAGTATGGAGTTTCCTCAAAAAACTAAAAATGCAACTTCCATTTGACTCAGTAATCCCATTTCTAGGAATATATTCAAAGAAATCAGAAACACCAATCAGAAAAGATACATGCACCCCCATGTTCATAGCAGCACAATTTACAATAGCTAAGATTTGGAAACAGCCTAAGTGCCCATCAGCAGATGAGTGGATTAAAAACTGTGGTATATCTACACAATGAAATACTATGCTGCGGTCTAAAAGAAGGAATTCTTACCATTTGCAACAGCATGGTTGGAACTGGAGAGCATTATGCTGCCAGTGGTCGGCAAACTCATTAGTCAACAGAGCTAAATATCAACAGTACAACGATTGAAATTTCTTTTGAGAGCCAAATTTTTAAAATTTAAACTATATAGGTAGGTACATTGTTATTAAGTTAATTAGGGTACTCCTAAGGCTTAGGAAGAGCCACACTCAAGGGGCCAAAGAGCCGCAGTTTGCCAACCACGGTGCTAAGTGAAATAAGCCAGCCAGAGAAAGATAAATATCACATGATCTCACTCATTTGTGGAATATAATGAACAACATAAACTGATGAACAAAAACAGATCCAGAGACAGGGAAGCATCGATTGGACTGTCAAACCTCAGAGGGAAGGTAGGGGAGGGTGGGAGTAAGGGGGAGAGATCAACCAAAGGACTTGTATGCATGCATATAAGCATAACCAAGGGACGCAAGACACTGGGGGGTAGGGGAGGCCAGGGGATTGTCAAGGGCGGGGATAAAAAAGGGACACATATGTAATACCCTTTGTAATACTTTTTGAGGGTTGGGGGGGTAATGGGGGGATAAGGACACATATGTAATAGCTTAATCAACAAAGAAAAAAAAATAAAATAAATTAGAAAAAGAAAGATTTGGAAACAGCCTAAGTGCCCATCAGCCCATCAGCAGATAAGTGGATTAAAACGCTCTGGTACATATGTATCCCAAGAAACTAGAAACACCAATCAGAAAGGATATATGCACCCCTATGCTCATAGCAGCACAATTCACCATAGCTAAGATTTGGAAACAGCCTAAGTGCCCATCAGCAGATGAGTGGATTAAAAAACTGTGGTACATCTACACAATGGAATACTA